AAGGTTTTGGGAATATACTAATTTTGGTCTTTGCTTTCTCTTAACTTTTAATTTTGATGCAATTTTACTCATTCATATTTGAATGGCACCCCTTAATTATCATTAATCAAGACCTCTTTTATTAATTTCTCTCAATTATGATCTTCTTTTCTTTTAATTAAGGGTACATGATTTTGGATTTTTCAAATGCACCCTCAATTGGGTTTCCTTTGGTTTTCAAACCAAATCTAATTTGAGCCCCTTGTTTCAAATAATTCTCTTTTTCCTTTTTTTTTATTTTCTTTTAACTCATAAAATTTTACCTTTGACAAATGAAAAAAAATAGAAACAACTCTAAAATAATCAATAAATACATATAAACATTTTAAATCTAAGACTAAATGATAAAAATTTTACCTTTGACAAATGAGCTTTCAAACTCTAACTTCAATCTTATAACCTTCCTAGCCTCACGAGATCTAATCTAACTAATTATTACTCTAATCATATTTTTTTCATGATTTTCTTAAATATTTGGAAAAGATTTTAGCATAAAAATAGAACGAGTAGTTGGAGGAAGTAGAGAGAAATTTAAAAGTTAGAAATGAAGAAGAAGAGAATGTAGCCTCTTTGTTTGCCTATTTTTTTTTATAGCTTCCATTTTTCAGTTAATCTCCCTTCATATTCTAGCCAATTAAACACCAAAAAATGACCCACAATAGCAACTCCTCCCTTTAGTCATCTTATTTATCCATAAAGCTCCAAATCCACCAAATAAATCAATCCAAAACAACCCTTCTCTCGTTTTCTTCAAAATCCATAAGCCTTAACATGTGCATTATCATTCTAAAATTTGAATTAACAAATATTTATTTTGCTATCATATGAACAAGGAATGAAAACTATTTATTAATGCTTTTTTTTAGTTTTATTGTATTTTCTACCTAGTTCAAGATAAAGTTTTATTAAGATTATTTGATTTTTGTGCTTTTAAATTTTGTAGCATTTTAAATTCCTTAAAAAATTAATATATAACATATTATTTTAATATATATTTTTATAGTTGAAAGTAATAACCCAACCAAAAAAAATAAGGTTAAGTTAGTAAATTATACATTTTTAGAATTCGAAAAATAGTTATAAATTAATTAGAGGTTAATCGCATTTTTAGTATAAATTAAAAATCTAAATTTTGGTTATAAAATAAAAAATTAGTCCCCTAACCCTATATAAAGAAAAGAAAAAGAGAATATGAACAAAAATAAGATGAACGAAAAAAAAAATCTAGACAACTTATTTAAAAAAAAAAATGAGATAGCCTATTTTTTCCCCATTCTTCCATTTTCTCTACATCTCTTCTCCTTCTTTTCTCACCCATATATTTCTCTTTACTTCCTCCTATATTTTTTTTCCCCCTAAAATCTTGTCCAAATACTTTAGAATCATGAAGGCAAGACTATCAAAATGAAATTTAGCTAGATTAAAGCTTAAGAGGCTTGGAGCGTTGTAGGATTGAAGTTAGGATTTGAAGACCCATTTGTCAAATGTGGATTTTTGTCATCTAATCTTATAATTAAGATGATTATATTTATTTATTTATTATTTTGAAGTTTCTTTTTTTATATTGGATTTGTTGTTTAAATAAGAATTGAGTTAGGTTAAGGTTAGGATTTAAATTAAATTTGGGGAATTGATGATTTAACAATTAATTATGCTAATTGATAATTAGAATGAAATAATGGTGGTGTGAAATTGATTATTGGACTATGAGTTTAAGAAATTTTCAAGTTGGTTGGGATGATGAATTGTAGAGATAAGTTGTGTGAAAAATTGAATTGAAAATTAATAATTAATTGTAGAGATAAAGCTGTGAGAAAATTGAATTGAAAATTGATAATGAATTGTAGAGATAAGTTATATGAAAATTGAATTGAAAATTAATGATGGATCATCAAGATAAACTATGAGAAAAAATTTGAATTGGAAATTGACGATGGATTGTAGAAACAAGTTATGTGAAAACTGAATCTAAATTTAATGATAGATAATTGATTTTAATAAAGTATAAATTGGGTTATTAGAGAAAGATTATAGAATAAACTTAGGATATAGTTGTTGGGTAATTGTCTAGAATTGATTGAGAGAGTAAAGTTTAGTTAAAAATTCTCAATTTGAATCTTTTCAACCAATTTCATTTTTGTAATTTTCTTGTATTTAGATTTTTAAAATAATCTATTTTTTTTGAATTTTTATTTGATATGTGATATTAGTGATTTTTTGATCATTTTGTATCATTAGATTCTTCTAAGCGGACAACTCTATCTTAACAAACTTGACCTCATTTGATCATCCGATTGTACTTGTAAGTAGATAATAAATAGCATATCATATTCTTAAATTTCTTTGATATTTTTGTCATGCATCATTATTTTAAATATGTTAAAATAACATCTATTAGAGCTTAGAAGGAAAAGGACTCCTTCTATATTCAAAATGATTTGACATTGAAAATGATTTGATATAATTCTAAAAAGGATTTGATTAGGAGTTTTAAATAAGTGTTTTACTTAAGGTTTGATTTAATGCTATAGATTTAATTATTAGTTTGATTGAGATTCTTGATTTTGATTTATTTGTATAATTTTAGTAAGTATATGATTTATAATTTTGAATTTGAGTTTGTATTTGTACTTAGATTATGAGTATGAGATTTGATATTGAACTACATTACTAAATTTGATTTTAAGCATGATTTGTATTCGAATATATTGGTTTTGGATTTTTAGAATATATGTAAGATTAATTGATTTTCAAATTGATTAATTACTTTGGGGTGCCTAGCTACGGGGGACGTAACTTGTGAGCTCACCGATATGAAAATACTCCGACTAGGAAGAGAGGTATAGTGCTAGCTCATGTTTCGCCTAATGTACGGTATGCCTAGCTACGTGGGATATAGTTTTTGGATGTTCACTTCTAATGATACAATGTGATTTGGTCACTCAAATGTAGATTTTTTATACTTGATATGATTTCTTCATTATATGTATTTTGATATGAGATCTCAATTATGAGTTTAAACAACTTGAAATATAAGATACGATTTGATATTTAAAGTATGTATTTAATTTTGAGAAATATCCATTGTATCTTAAGCATATTTTAAATTATCATTCGTTAGCTTGTTTTTCTCCCTTACTTGTGTTATAAAAGATCTATTTATCGAGTTGTCTTACATCCTACTATTTCGGTTTGCGGGATCTATGATGTTGCCTTTTAACTTGCCCTACATCCTACTATTTCGGTTTGCGGGATCTATGATGTTGCCTTTTAACTTGCCCAAAGTTGTTATTTTTAAAACCAACACATTGATCGTGTGACTTATATACTTGTAATATTTTGAACTTATGTTTTAATATTGCTGTAAATTCTAGAAGCTCTACATATATTTGTGGGAGTTATGTTAGTTTGTTAATTATTATGTTAGATGTGTATAAGTACTGAATCCGAAGTGACATTGTAAATTTGAATGTGACATTGACTAATTAGGTTGTTGATTGTGGAATTATAGATTAAGATGAAATTGAAAAATATTGATTAAATTATGGTGTGATATTGTGAGTTGGATGTGATAAAGTATTTTGATTAATACGAGTTTGATATGTATGGTTTAGATGAGTCCCACAACTCTCTCAATTCTCGCACCGACTATGACCTACTTTGGGAGCCGTGATAATGTAATAGCTGAAATACATTTTATATTGAAACAATATATTAAATATAACAAGCATAATTTTTTTTTATATAAAAACACGGTGATAAATTCGATAATGTTTCGAATTCGATCCGAATCTTTTAGGATCTAGATATGAAATAAAATTTTTAAAATCTAATCTAAATCGACTTGTTGATAATCTTAGTTCCCCCTTTTACCTTGTCTTTTAGGATTTATAGTTGCAGTGGTTTTTCTAAAATTTATTTTGTCTTGATCATGTTCTTCTATGATTATTATTATTATTCGTTTTAATTTCATTCTTCAATGTTTGTTTTTGGTTTAATCATATTCTTTTATTAACACCTTGGATTAATGTTGTTAAATGTCACCATCAACGCCACATGATTGCGATATGCGTGAACTTTTTTTTATCGAATTTCAATAAAGATTTCATGAAAAATTAAATAAAAACTAAAAAAAGTAGCTAGAAATCAACCATTGATTTTTATTTTTCAAAATTCATTTATTGAAATTAAAAAAAAGAGTTAATTTAAGGTAGTAAATTTGCAACTACTTAAAATTTGAAAAATAATAATTTAAGATAGCAAATTTCTAGCTGCTTGAAATTTGAAAAATAATTAAGGTAAGGCAGCGAAATTCTAGCAGTTTTTAAATGAATTTTGAAAAATAAAATAAAAAACTAAAAAAAGCAGCTACCATATTAACTATCAAATTTTTTTCAATTCTTTTATATTATTTATTAAAATTTGGCAAAAAAAAAAAAAAAAAGAGTTGACACGCATCGCAATCTATAACCTTAATGGTATAGTTTAACTACGTTAATCCAAAATATTAATAAAACGATATGATTAAGATAAAAACCAAATATTTAAAGGTAAAATTAAGATAAAAAATGGAAGATCGACATGATTAAGAGGAAATAAAAAGCTGAGGAATCCTGTCCTTTTCTTTTGGTTAAAGAAAACAAATCCCTTCGGAAAAAAAATAAAACTAAAAAAATGCAAACCACAAGCAGGTAACCGCTTTTGAAGTAACTTTCAAATTACTCCCCAAGTTACAAAATCTTTCATTATTGCCACTAATGAAAGAAGAAAAGAGGAAATTAATAAAATATGTTGCATTACAGGCTGTTGTTGTTCACCGTACTAGGAGTTGGTGAGTTGAAACTGGGAAACCGCTTCGTGCTAAATTATATTCCTTTCGATCACCACCAAAACCTGAAAACCGAATAAATTGAACTCAAAATCCTTCGCTTTTCTCTTCCAATAATCATAATAAAAACAAAATGAGCGTGATTGACATATTAACTCGAGTAGACGCGATCTGCACTAAATATGACAAATACGACGTGGAAAGGCAAAAAGATCTCAATATCTCCGGCGACGATGCCTTCGCTCGCCTCTACGCCACCGTTGATTCTGACATTGAAGCCGCTCTTCAGGTCTCTTCGATCTCTTTGAAATCAAATCGATTCGTTTAATGTTTCAAAATTAGCGTCTGCTTGTTAATTTAGACTTCAGTTGAGTCCATTTATAGATTTGGTGTTTTAGGTTCTGTTAATTTCAAGGCAAATCAGCTGTATTTCTGCTTGCTTTACTGAATTTCGAGTGATTTGAGCTATGCAGAAAGCAGAGCTTGCTTCCAAGGAGAAAGGTAAGGCCTCTGCAGTTGCTATAAACGCAGAGCTTCGTCGAACCAAGGCTAGATTGCTTGAGGAAGTCCCTAAGTTGCAGAGATTAGCAATAAAGAAGGTTAGTCTTTGAAAACTCTTTTAAGTGATTTTTGTCTAACTCGGTATAAATTAGCTCCAGAAAGTGAAATCACTCACGATTCTTCGGCAATACACGTGGATTTCTCTTTGAATGTTACGAGTTTCTGTCATAATTTGGTATTTAGGATACAAAGTTTACAGTTGACAGCATCAGGGTTGGTCTACTGCAGGTTAAAGGGCTTTCTACAGAGGAACTTGCTGCACGAAATGATTTGGTCCTTGCATTGCCAGATAGGATTCAAGCTATACCAGATGGAACTTCAGCTGCACCCAAACAAACTGGAGGTTGGGGGACTTCGGTTCCCGAAATGAAATCAAATTTGATTCAGGTGATTTGTTCACTTATTTTGAAACTGTGTTGAATTGTTGATAGGACAATTTTTCTTCTCCTGATTCCTAAGATTGTTATAAGTGGGTAGGTTTTGAATCGTCTTAGCTTATTTCAATATTTAGGAAGTGATGCTTGATTTTTTTCCCTCCTTGTTAGCTCATGGTTCATTGATCATTGGTGTATTCTACTTATTATAGGTGGGCAGTTTGATAATGAATACTTTCAAGAAAGTGAGACGTCTAGTCAATTCAGGCAGGAGTACGAAATGCGTAAAATGAAGCAGGCAAGTCTCATAAAGTAGCAGCATGTTTGTTTTTCATCCTATAATTGAGGGAAGCTATTGGACTCGTGGTTTCCCTTGTTATTAACTTTGACATTCCCTCAGGATCAAGGTTTGGATATGATTTCAGAAGGTTTAGACACTCTGAAGAATGTGGCTCATGACATGAATGAGGTATTTATTTTAAATAAATGTCTTCTTCCTTCTCTTCTGTTGTGTGTGCTGGAAAATATGTTTGTAGTGTGGGATGTGTAGGAAAAGCTGCTTGTACGTGATTATTGGCAGATATGTAATTATCCATGGCATTTAAATTTGTTGTGTTATGCGATCTGTGCAGGAGGTAGACAGGCAAGTCCCGTTGATGGACGAAATTGACACTAAGGTGAGAGGCATTGCCATATCCTTATAAATTTTCAATGCCATTCAGATGGATTTAGAGCTTATATGAAGTTCTCTCTATGCTTCCATACAGGTGGACAAGGCATCTGCTGACCTTAAGAATACCAATGTTAGGCTTAAACACACTGTTAACCAGGTGATTGAGCTTCAAATTTACAAAGTTTAGTTTTTTTGTTCTTCTCATATACATCCAGATGTAGGCTTCTTTCTGAATCTGACACAAGTTTCCATTATATTCCAGTTGAGATCTAGTCGGAATTTCTGTATTGATATTGTTTTGTTGATCATAATCCTTGGAATAGCTGCCTACTTGTACAAGTAAGTTCCTACTACTTTCATAAGTAGCTTACATGTATGTCATCGTTCATGCACAATCAAATGTTATTCTGCCATTTTCTGCATGTCTCCATTATGTTTGGGTGAACTTGCTTTGTTTTCTAATTCCACCATGAGTGTCGAGCTAAGAAATGGGGCTTTCCTCAATTTCTTGTACAGAGTAAGATCAAGCTCTTTTGTAGAATTTAGTTGAAAGTATAACTCATCGAAGCAATTCCTAAATTAGGATTAGTTAGTATTAGTTAGAAACCCAGGCTCATTGAGTACGTTATTCTGCTATGAATTGATGCTGTGAGAATCCCTTCCCCTGAAGTTCACGTAGCTAGCTAGGATCAACTAACTTTAAGAGCAACATTATACTTGGAAATTTCTCAAAATGGGTCAGAGAAGAAGTGTGAAATTTTTACTTTCATGAGCAACTCAACTTGGCTTCACCATGTGGAGCGACATGAATTTGCTTAATTTAATTCTGTTGCAGATGCCCTTTTTTTAATCTATTGTCATACTAGATCATTACATCAGCTCATGTCATTTTCGGTCTAACTTGTACCCTCTTTGGTCCCAATATTTTAAATTGGCATCTTCCATACCATTGCATTTGTAGGTTTATGTTTCATATTGCTATCCCATCATAGACCACCGTCTCTTTACTCATCTTCAATAGTTGCCATCTTCATCTTCACCAGATGGACTCATTTCTTGTCTAATCCTTTCTTGTGTGCACAGAAATCTACTTTAATATCTTCATCTTAGCTATGTTTATGAGCATGTTATTTTTTCACCTGCAATTCTCACTGTTATTTTGGTGTCTTCCATACCATTGCATTCGTAGGTTTATGTTTCATATTGCTACCCCATCATAGACCACCGTCTCTTTACTCATCTTCAATAGTTGCCATCTTCATCTTCACCAGATGGACTCATTTCTTGTCTAGTCCTTTCTTGTGTGTACAGAAATCTACTTTGATAGCTTCATCTTAGCTATGTTTATGAGCATGTTATTTTTTCACCTGCAATTCCCACTGTTATTTTGGCGTCTTCCATACCATTGCATTCATAGGTTTATGTTTCATATTGCTACCCCATCATAGACCACCGTCTCTTTACTCGTCTTAAATAGGTGCCATCTTCATCTTCACCAGATGGACTCATTTCTTGTCTAATCCTTTCTTGTGTACAGAAATCTACTTTAATATCTTCATCTTAGCTATGTTTATGAGCATGTTATTTTTTCACCTGCAATTCTCACTGTTATTTTGGCGTCTTCCATACCATTGCATTCGTAGGTTTATGTTTCATATTGCTACCCCATCATAGTCCACTGTCTCTTTACTCATCTTCAATAGCTGCCATCTTCATCTTCACCAGATGGACTCATTTCTTGTCTAATCCCTTCTTGTGTGTACAGAAATCTACTTTAATATCTTCATCTTAGCTATGTTTATGAGCATGTTATTTTTTCACCTGCTATTCTCACTGTTATTTTGGCGTCTTCCGTACCATTGCATTCGTAGGTTTATGTTTCATATTGCTACCCCATCATAGACCACTGTCTCTTTACTCAGCTTCAATAGCTGCCATCTTCATCTTCACCAGATGGACGCATTTCTTGTCTAATCCTTTCTTGTGTGTACAGAAATCTACTTTAATATCTTCATCTTAGCTATGTTTATGAGCATGTTATTTTGTCACCTGCAATTATCACTATTTTATAGAAGTGAAATAGACTAGAGGAATCCACTGGTTGAATAAGAGCACACAATAAATCCACCTAAAAAGCACAGAAATCTACCTCTGTGGTAGCATCTCAAGTTCTCATTTTCACTAAAAGTAGCTGTCAAAATAGAAAATGCATTTTAACGGGCATACCAAAACTCAAGTTTTATACAAAATATAGATGCAATTTCATGCAAAGGTCTAAAAATACAATTAGTTTGCCATTGAATTCTAAACTTTTGAAGAACACATCATATTTCAAATGCTTAATTTAGTCTTCATTGTTTTGCTGTCCATACAAAATCTATACAGTTGCTGACTTGGGTCATCTGGCATCCTGAATGCTCTATAACAAATTTTAAGTATGAACTCCAGAAAAGAGATGGTCCAACATTTACTTATTTTAATATACATTTAATATGCCTTTGTATGATGAAAAATGGAATTTGGCATTGGATGAAAAATAAGCCTAGAGAGTAGAATTTGTTTCTCGGGACTTCAGGGTGGTTGTTTTTTGACCTCGTTATGTAATTGGGTACATGTGGATATGAGTGGTGGGACCTCCAAGTTATTGATTTACTAAGAGAACCTAGGAAAGAATTTGTGCTTGGTCTAGCTCTAGGCAAATTTAATTGGTATGGACTCTTCTTGATTTACTAAATTAGCACCAAACTCCTCATGTTTAAATTTCCCTCAAAAGTCAGATTTCTGATTCATCTTCTCATATCTCCCTGAAACTTTTTGTGATGGACCAGCTGATGCTCATATTTTTTGTTGTTTTTCAATTGGGAAGTTTCTCTGACAAAGCATCTTCCTTTTGCAGTGTGTTGAAGAAGTGAAGAATATGAAGACTCTACCCTATCTATTTCTATGGTGTGGTGGTGTTGGCTTTTTCTGGTATAATCTTGTATTTTTAGGACTTTATATGGTGCTTGCTTTTACATTTGATTTGTTTCTCATGCTGGGAGTAACTTCTCACATTTGGAAATGCATGTTTGTCGTTCATGTTTATTTTATTTTCCGTATCTTAGTATCTTGCAGTTTGTTTGTCTCCTTAGTTTGGGAATATTTATGCGCTGAATTTAACCAATAGAAAGTTCCCCGTAGTTTGTAACAGGTCCAATAACTAATTTCTCTCATTGCCCATGCCCGTTCGAAACCTCAGGATGTTTTTGTTGTATATATGGAAGTTGGTGTGGGTGTTACTATGCAATGTGTGCTTATAACGAAAATAAAATAGTGCTGTGTGTTTAATTAAGTGCGGATTTGACAGTTGATGTTCTAGATTCATATGGACCTGGCATTATGTTGTTATTCTCCGACCCTTCATCCTTCTACCTTTTCGGCCTTCATTCAGGTTAGGATACGTGTTGGGTTAAGAAAACGAATTCAAGCGTAGATTGGATCCTAGATTACTAAATAGAGCCACTAGTTACTCTTCTCACATTAGTGAGTGAGCGAGGACCAAGTGTAGTCATCTAATTTTTACCCAATACACTCCCCCAAAAAAAAAAAAAAAAAAAAAAAGGAAGAAGAAGAGGAAGAAGAAAATGAGGTGGGCCTGGCTGTTCAGGCCCAATTCACAAAGAAAAAAATTTCAAAACAAGAAAAACTTAAGCAAATCCTACGTAGCACCATAAAAATACTCTACTTTAGACACACACTGACAGACAGGCAAGAAACTCTAGCAATTAAAACCGTAGAACAAATCAGAAGTAGAAGCAAACAGCAAGCAGTTGTTGTCGTTTGCTTTCTATAGCTTCTCAACCTATACGCACTATAGCACCACGATCGGTCAAGGAATATGATTCCCGCGCCATCGGAGTGAAGCCATATGCGTGCAAGTAGTTTTTTGCCTGTCATGCAGGGATGACCAAAATTCGGTGTTCATCGAAAAATTAAATCGAACCAAAATTAATATTTCGGTTTGGTTTTTGAAGTCAAATTAGAAAGAAAAAAAAAAAACTGAAATAATCTCGATGTTTGGTTTTTAAAATTTCACTATTGATTTAATTGAAAACTGAATATATATATATATATATATATATTTTTGTAAGGCAAATGGAAAACAATCCTAACCTAATAGAAAGCAATAACCATTAACCTTCTTCTCCTTCTCTTTCCCTTTCCGTTTTCCTCTTCTTTTTTGTTTTCTTTTCTTTGCATCTCTTCGTTTCTTTTCTTTTCCCTCTTTTTCTCCTTCCCTTTCTTCTCCCATAGTCCACACTCCACAAACAGCCATGCTAATAAATAGTCTCCCTCCTCCTTCTCTTTCTTTGCACCTTCTTGCCTCTTTTCTGTGCTGTCGAGCTATGCATCTTCCTTTGCCGTTGTGAGGTTTTGTGAAGAAAGGGTTTGGAATTGTGATTGTGAAGAGGAAGAGAGGAAATAAGTTGGGTTATTGTGTATTTAAAAATTCAGTTACGGCTTGTTAGATTTGTGTATGAATGTGATGATGATCAAGATGATGTAAATGATTATCATGATCATAATCTTAATACTCCTTTTTTGAATTACTTTTTTATACATTTTTTTGATTTGGTGTTTTACCTAAATTACATTTTAGGTTTGATGTTTTTATGGTGTTAATTAAACTTTGAGGAGTTTGGTTAATTTTAGGATTTCTTAATCTAATTTCAAGACTTCTGTACAATTCTCTAATTTTATTTGCATATAACAACTTGTTTAATTTTTTTTCAAGTTCTGAATTTTATTTTTTTTAAATTCATTTTAAATCAAAACCGAATTTCAATTCAGTTCTGTTTCGATTTTTTTTTTAATAATTCAGTTAAATAAAAATCAAATCGAATTTGTTAAAAATGGAACTTAAAAATTGCTTGATCACCCTTACTCTCAAGCGTCATGCGACCCATGTGCTTCTTCTATGGCTTTTGTCTTTGCTGCTTTTTTTTGTCTAGTTTGGTCCTTGAACTTTTAATTCAGATATTTAAATCCCTTAGTTTTTTTATTTTTGATTTAATTTTTATCTGATTTTTATATATTGCATGATTATTTAATTGACTCATGCTCTAGTAATATTAATTATGTAATTAAAATAAAATTTGGATAATTATGGAACTAAAGTTACTTGATTTTGGATTTAATTGAAAATTATTAAATTTAGAGTCCTTGAGTTCATTTAACATTTTTTATAACGTTTTGAACTTGATTTCTTTGTTATTTGTGTGCATCTAAAATCTGATTTGACAAGAGTAAGGAGTATGTGATATTTTTCAGAGCTTATTCTATTTTTATTTTATTTTATTTTATTTTTTTTAAATGAGGTTAACAGGTGATCGACATATTATATATTATCTAATTTTTATTTTTTATATAAAAAGGACCTTTTGGTTAGTGATTAAGCTAGCAATAGGCTAGCCTTTTTTTTTTTTTTTTATGGTGAGAAAATTAAAATATGACAATACAAATCAATAGGTCAATGACCTTGTGGAGACCAATTGATTATTTTATATTATTTGCTTGTATTTACATGATTCGTAGTTCTTGCATGTCTAATTTTCTTATATTTTGCACTTAATCTGTTTACTTGATATGATGTCAGTTTAGGTGAGTTTAAATGGATAGGTTTAAGACTTAAGACTAATTTGGTTTCAATGGAGTTTTTTTCTTATTATTTTTATTGTTGTTGTTTTTTTTAAGCTAGCATTTTATTTTTTATTGTGAAAATAATTAAAATATGACAATACAAATTAATAGGCCAAGGATGTTGTAAAGACTAATCGACTATTTTATTTTATGTAGGATTATCTTTACCCGATCTATGGTTCTTGCATGACTAATTTTCTTATGTTTTGGGCTTGATGTGATGTCGGTTTAGGTCGGCTTTAGATGGATAGGTTTAGAACCTAAGATCAATTTGGTTACAATGACGAGTCTTTTTTTACTTATTATTATTATTATTATTATTATTATCATTATTTATATTTTATTTTATCGTATTCATTTTTTTTTTTTGTCACTAATTTTGTCTTTTTGTAGATTAACTAATACACTAAAGTAAAACAATGAAATGAACAAGTAGAAGGAACAGCATTTTGAACACTATTCATTATTGTTTATTATTTTTTAAAATTTTCAAGTTATTTCATTTTGATCCCTAAAAATTTAAAATAAATATTTTAATCCCTTAACTCATACACTCGCACATGCCTTTTCTTCTTCTTTTTTCTTTGGTTTTTTGCCTTTGCTTTTTTCTATTAATTTAGATTCTTTTTATTTGATTGGGTGTTAAAATTTTGAAAAATTAATTTTTGCTTTGCTTTGTTTTTTTCCATCAATTTATGTTCTTTTTTTATTTAATTGGATATTAAAATTTTAAAAAATCAATTGTAATTTTTTTCCACACAAAATGGATAATTATATAATATATTTTTTTATATTTTAAAATTAACATATACTTCATTTTATATTGCTCTTGTAATTTAAATTTCATTATTTGAATTTATCATATTTCACTATTCACACACTCATATTTCGTTATATTTTTTAACTCGTTCATGACATTTTTTTATACCATAAAACGGACTATCAAACTCGAAATGATTTTTTTAAATAATTTTACGTATTTTATCCAACTCACATCATAATGTGGACAAAAAATCTAGTTTAGCTCTAAATTAGATATTGGACTTTGGATCTAGTTTTACTATTTTAAATGACATGATATTTTGATATAGGCTTAAGGCCTATGTATATATTATTAGGATTTTTTATGTTGAATTTTTTATGTTTATTTTTATGGTTTGGCGCATGAACTTAGATCTAAAGTCCAGACTTCTTGTTATTTTATTTTTATATCTTTTGTTTGGTTTGGTTTATTTAACTTACAAATGGACTTTATTCTAATTTTCACCTCTCAAATTAGACTGATCTAATGATCCAATGACAACTTAGGTGAGATATTGAGTCTTTTTTCGATCTTCAAATCACCCACTTTAATGCTAGTTAGAAAAATATAATAATCAACACAAATAAAATGGACGCATAATTGGACTTTGTATAAAGAAATTCTCATAAGTTAGAATTAAGTGGCAATCTCATTTTCTCTAATTGTGTAATTAACCTCTTTACTTAGAACTTTTAGGACTACTCTCTTAGGTTTTTCTTAATTTTCACTTCATAAAATACAAAGTGTTTAATTCATATATATATATATTTGTCGAAAGGGGTCATTGTGACACTAAGATTAAATTATGGTCACTCACAAATTTTTGAGGGAAATATGGGATTGGGATTGGGATTGGAATCGAGGAATGAGAATAATTGGATTAGAACTCCTGGATATATCCATGTTCATGATGCCTCCCTTTTTTTTTTTTTTTTTTTTCACTTCTCTCTAGTTCTGCTTAGGTTGTTTTACTGGTAGTGAAGCAGCTAGTCATGGAGTTGTGCTCCCCTGCCTCTCTTAGTGGTTGATAGTCATGCTTTTGGTAGATGGTCAACAACATTTGTATCTCGATGTGAATGGCTGGAAGATACAACTATTGAGAGCCATTCTGCAGCGAATGCAACAGCATGTGGGTTATGAAGTTCCAGTAGGCGTTGTGAGTGGATGCTCCTTAGAACTTGGGCACGAGTTTACTTTCGGTCAGGCAATGGTCATTCCATTTTTTGGGTCCAAAAGAGTGGGCACAATTTAGTTTTGGAAGCTCAGCCCTTCTCCGGTGGTAAAATTCACCATCTATCCATCACCATGTCTTGTGACAGACAAGAGTCTTGAAAACTGAGGTTGAAATACGATCTAGGAAGGCATTCGTCCTTGGATTTGACCAACGATTAACGTTAAAGAAACAACGTACGGAACTGAATTTAGTAAATTACATATAAGAACTACTACAGCAATAACTATAATACTGGAAGTACATCAAAGATTAAGGAATACAAGCGCCGGTACTAGTTTCCGACTTCTTTGATCCTATACATATAAATCAAACGTATGAAAACACAGGTTTGTTTAGCTATTCCAAACCTCACAAATATCCTAACTATATATATACATGCTGTCCATTACGGATGAATCACCATATTTGCTACGATAAGGTATACTGTACAAATCATCATACCTATCTGAACGCACAAACAGCCTTCACGATATGTACATATATAATATCCTACGTATAGTAGCGCTCAAAGCTATTTGTGATGAAATGGACTTCGAACCTCTACCGGTGCTTGGATATTTTATCATTTCCTGTGAAGGCTAGGTGATTAAACTCTTGATATTGAACAAGAGAATTCCATTGCTCAGCACTGAAATTGCCACCTTGAGACTGATCTATTCCACAGAAATTCTCATCAGTGCCATCGTTTCTGATAGATATGGCATCCTCCTCAACATCTGCCTTTGTTCTAAGCTTCTTGCTCTGTTGATAATAAATCTCCCGCTGTTGATTTCTTTCCACATGTTTTCTTTCCTGTGGGATTAACAAATTGTCAAAAGAACAAGATTCATCACTACTTGGGACGTTTATGCTCGAGGGTCTTCCAGAGCATGGAAAATCCTGGGGAGAAAAGATGTAAGGCAACATCGGGCAATCGTTGGAGAAATAATTCCTGACCATCTCAATGTTGGGGTTGGTGTTCGTTTGAAGTAGCTCATGCACTTTTGGGAAGAAGCTGGTGGGTGCACAACTAGGAATATTTTGATCTTCCCATGTGTTTCTGGGGATGCTGTTCTTTTGCCTAACTCGACACAGCACCCAGTCGTCCAACTGCAACAAGAAATGTTGTTACCAAACTGAACATCTTTCATCAAATATAACTAAGAGTTGAGTTAGACATGGATTTCACCCAACCACTTACCCTCATAGAACCTTTTCTCTTGGGATTGTTCCAGATCATGGCATCTAGCAATCTGTATTCATGCATGATCCAGTCTGTCTTTATTCCTTTGGGCGGGCGTCCTTTGTAGAACACAAGAGCCTTCTTGACACCTATTTTTGTTTTTCCGCATGAATTAAGAATCGGTTTATCTGTCCCTGTTGCCTTCCAATAACCTGAAGCTGCCGTCCTGTTAGGCCGGGCTCCATTGGGGTACTTCCTATCCCTCGGTGTAAAGAAATACCATTCATCCACTCCAAACAGAGCTCTCTCTATTTCGAAAGAAAAAGTGTTTGTCAGTAGGCAATAGCTATACCAAAGATGCATGTAAGGGTAACGAAAACCAAAAGAAACACAATATATATATATATATATACACATACTTGGTAGCTCCCATGGGTTATACTTATAGAGATCTATCTCAGCAATAATAGATGCTGGAAGTGGACTTGAACTGACTCTGTTGTTCAAATAGTGCACTATGAGCTCCTCATCAGAGGGATGGAACCTAAATCCTGGAGGGAGTTGAATTTCTGAGCTGGCTTTGGCCTCCATGTTAAAGAGGCTTTGTTTCTCGGTGATGGAAGAACGTTGGGATCGAGAAGGAGTCGATGAGACCAAAGACATAAACGATCAAAAACGGTTTAAAGGTTGGAGAGCAACACTGTGTAAAGTTTATATAGGGGTGATCATCATGCTATTATGTTTACAAAATAATTAAGCTTTGATTATTGCATGGTGCTGATTCAGAGAAAGGACAGTAGAAAGCAACGCTTTTGTCTCATTTCATAACTTTTAGGATCATACATTCTTCAACGAACCTATCAATTTTATGGCGTCCATTAATATTTCATTTTTAAAAAGCTCGAGAATTGAGATGATATAATTTTTTATCCAACGATCTATATAATTAGTACCAATAAATCTTAGTGGGAGTTCAACCTATTTATCCAGTAATTAAAGGCAACAATCCGCCGTCGGTGTTGTAACCTTGGAGTTGTCGTTTACCATTCATTTGTGCATCTTTTGTGCTTTAGAAAATTTTCCAACAGTGCTTAATTAGATTGATTTGTTGGCTTAAATGACCCAAATACAACATAAAGTTATTTGTGTTGTGGACTTAATCTAACCACGCAAGTATTGATTAGTAAGTCCACAATTTCATGGAATCAACTTTTTGGCATCCCCCATCTAGTTAATTGGGTACAAAAATGTCAGGTTTTGTTTTGATTTTCTTATTGCTTCCTTCACATTACTATAGTGGATGATCCGCACATTACCTCTTGTCAAAATTTGATTTTCAAAATAGGTTATATAAATTAAGCATCATTGCTTGATAGTTATTTCTTTGGATCTTTTGAGAATTTTAAGTCCAAAAAATTAAACTAATCTTTTATTTTTTATCGAATATATAAAAAGAACACAATTATTCAAACAATTTTTTACATATACAAAGAATTCAAAATTAAAATAATTTATTTCAACCATTAGAACTTTATCTATTCACACCAGCTTTCTTCGATTGCGTAATAGTTATTTTAATGCTCGATGGTTAAAGAAATATGTTTTTTTTGAATGAAAGGAGTATGACTCTACGTCCTAACAAATCAAAGGATATGCCAAGAGCTAAAATCCCTGGTGGTAGAAGATCTGGAATGACCAGCAGCACCAAATTTGGTACATATATGTGTTTTGTAAAAGATTCAAATTAAAGAAGCAAAATTTTCTTAAATCTTCTAATTCTCTTATGGATGATTTGTTATTGACCGAATGTGAATGGTAAAAGTAATCTTGGTATATAAAGAACTGCTTTGAGAATACTAGTGGACTAGAGAACAAAAGAAGAAGGTGAAAAGATATCAGCTGAAAAACGTTTATTTATAAATAGTAAAAAGTGAAAAGATATCAGTCGATCAGGCATATGATTAACAATTGTAGCTATGAATTATTTAGCAATATTTGAGGTTTACTTAATTTTGTGGACATGTCGTGTTTTTAATTAATGTCCTTTTCCTTTGATATTAAGGTTTGCATATACAATTCTAAAAAAAAATAAATAAATAAACGTTTACACATACAAGGTGAGTCCTTTTCCAGGAGGAGCATCACAGTGTGAATCGTCAAGGATGCTTGGAAAACCCCTTTCCACTGTATCGTAAATGATTGTTCTCTAGCGATAATATCACCATAAACTTTTATATATTAATTTAAAGACCTTGACTGGATTTGAGAATGATCCATAATTTGAACATAAATTGTCGAAATTGAAATCAACCAAGTGCTTCCATTAGATGGTGGAAATATGTGTATATGTGGATTTGATTCGATGATAACTATAGAAAAAGAGGACAAAAATATTTGCTATGGATGCTGTTCTTGGTTCTATTGGATCCTTCCATGAGCAGCCCCATGCTTCATTTGCGAAAAGACTCCAAGATTTGTACAGGGTAAGTGTTGAGGAACATAACGAGGCCAAGTTGATAGCTTAGGGATTCGGTTGCTTGTTGTTTTCTTCTTGGAATCTCTTCATGACCATTTTTCTTTGTACGCTTTAAAGTCTCTTTCAACATTACTCCACCACCAAATGGTCATCCCTTTTCTTCATTTCAAAGAAGGTTATTTACATCAATGCCCATTATGCTCTGCTAGCATTTCAGTTCATAATCCATCAATTCCTTGGAAATTCAATTCTAGAGCCGAAAAGTAACACCAGAAGTTCGGATATTAGAGGTGGGTGGGTCGGTGGGAGGGTCCAAGAAGATGATGATAAGTATATAATTTCAAAGTTTGAAAACTTTTGTACTCAAATGAAAAGTGACGATGCGTATTAAGCTATTGTAGTCATCATGTATGCTAAGTGCAGACAGCAAAGACAAAACAATATCCTATTAAATCAAACCTTGTTGGTAACGAAATTTCTATTTCCTTGCGGGTGTCAATTGGTAATACAGAATCATTGGAAGTTCACCTTTTTTTTTTACTTCAGTGCTTGGGATAGCTTTATCTTTGAACCCACCACCGAAGGAGAAGCAAGGAGATGAGGAATCCAGGATTCTTGTCAAAATAAGAGAAACAAGAAAATCTCATGTGAGTACGACGTTTTATTTTCTTTATCAACGATCGTGACCAATATATTTTTAACGTTTCAATTGCTCCTCTATCTCTAATCCTAAAAATTTTCAATTTCCTCAACCTTTATCGTATTGATTTGTGACACTTCATCTAACTAAAATCTAATGGTTAATACTAGTTTACACCTGGCACCATCAATAATTTAGGGGTGGAGTTTTCTAATGTGGATAAATAATTTTTCACACTTTCATTTTGGCCCGGACCTCTGTCCCTTGGGCCACGTACAATAGAGCATTGTATGGGCTCCTTTTAAGACCGTCTATAGTAGATTGTGCCAGTGGATTGGGACCATTGAAATGGAATCATATTTGCTATTCCCAAAAACAAAAAAATCTGCTGTGACCAACGAAAACGTTAAATTGAATTGTCGTAATTTAAAACCAGCAATGAACATTCCCTCATCTTCCTTGGCCGAATGTATCGTATTACAATTTTCAGGTAACATTCATCACATCAGGAGTATTTTATAGACCGACAGCTGCAAGCCAAGTTCACTTAGGCCAAACTTCATTAACAGGCACCAAGCACTAGAAATAAACTCGGAATCGTCAGTTGTAATTTTATTCATTTATAGGGACTTGAATGTAAGTGCCTGCAAGTAGTTAATTTTAAATTCAATTTAATTAGATTAGGATTGTGGAAATTATACATCCTCTTTTTGCCTTGATTTTATGCCGGGGTTACTCCCCAAGGAAAGCATTATTTTTACAGACAATATTAAGTTGTTTGTGCACTTTCACATGTTAGCGATTCATTAAACAATTGGTAAACTCGAAAAAGATAGTGTTTGGTTTTTCTTCTTGTAAGGGAAGGGCCAAAATGCCCTAAGAAAACCCTAGGCTAGACCAAAGAACGCAAGAATAATGAAATTATAACACAAAATAGAAAGCACTAGTTTGTTGTCTCTCTTACACTACGAGTGAGGCAGGAGCAAATCATTTTGATTTAATATTCTATATTTTATTACCAGTTTATTAAAATATATCGAATTAAAAATATATATTAAAAAACAAATTTAATAATTTGTTAATCAAAATCTTATATTTAATTAATTCTTCTTTATGTTTTTCATGAATTTTCGATCGAAAAAAATGATTTGTTATTTTGATTAACACGTGTAAAATTCATTTTTAATTGATTTTTTATTTAATATAAAATATCTAAAATACATTTTCGACACACACGCACATATATATATATATGTTGCTCTCATTTAGAAATCATATAAATGTATTTAAAAAAATCAAATTCTAAAATTTTATTTAAAAATCCTTACATAGAAAACAATAAATTATATATTCTTAATAAATAAAATTATGTAAAAAATTAATTACATATTTTCATAAAAAATGACAAATTAAAGAAATTATATATATATATATATATTTGTTAGGTCTGTATAAAAAATAAAGATTATTTTTCATAAATTTAGCACAAAATCAATAATAATAAACAATAAATATAAATTTCTAAAAAAAACCAAGCCCGGACAGCTGGCCTCATACAAAAGAAAAAAACAAGACAAAACAAAAGCAATGGACATGCGTTGATTGTTACTACACAATAGACAATTCGTCATCCACTATAACTTTCGGCAAACTTAAATGTGCCAAAAAGGTTATGGAAAAATGAGTTTTTGATTTTTTTTACAGACCTCAAAATCCAACTGGTCATTATTTTTGCTTCTAAACACTTTAAAAATACTGAAATGAGGTAAAAAAAAATAAATAAAAAAACATGTTTGAAACTTTAAAACTCACTCTAATACACATAAAAAAACAAATTAAAATAAAAAAATCATAATATTTTGAGGTCTCGAACTACCTTGTTCGATCATGTTATGTCTTAAAACTACTATAAACAAACTCAAATGTTTTAGATGAACAAATTGAACGAAACTCCACCGACCTAAGTGGCAAGAATAAGCCCGATCGATGCTTTCTCACTCATCATTCCTCTCTACTCTTTGTAAAACACCTCCTTCGATCATTTTATGTCTTGAAATTACCATAAACAAACTCAAATCTTCAAGATAAACAATTTGAATGAAACACCGCTAGCCTAAATGGCTAGAATAGGCTTGGCCAGTACTCTCTCTCACTTCATTCCTCTCTACTCTCTATATCCAAGGACTAAAATGTGTTACAAATAATATTTGTCGCTACCCGACGTCGGACGAGACTCTTCGAAAAAATATCTTTTAATCTCTTTATTTTAAGATTTATTTTTATTTATAAAATTATTTACGAGTTAGAAGTCGCCACCTAGTACTGAAGGAACTAGGAACCTAAAATGAGCACCGGTTCGGAGATTCTATGATAAGGGGTTGGTTATGCTTATGGAAAGATAATTAATCACCCAAAAGCACCCTTTCCTAAGAAAGGTATCACATCTAGTTTAGTCCTAAATTATCTCCTAAGGTATTTTATTCTCGCCCAATTATTTTTTGATTTTTTGAGACTCCAATTTTCTAAGTCAAATTAAGTTTTTTTTTTTTTTTAGCGTGGCATCGTATTGAAACGATCGTCCGACCCCTTCCATAGGGAGACACGTCGGTTCAAACATCGGATCCACTTTTTGAGTCTCAACATGACCGATGTGCCGGAGAACACTTGTTTATTAAAAATGTTTTTTTGCTAACAACAATCCCTATCGGATAAGAGACTTTGTTAAAAATTTTATAATGATTTTTTTTATTTATTATTATTTTTATTTTGTAGAAAACCGTCATCCGTCCCTAAAGAAATTAGGAGACTTAACGAGTCCTCCACCCATTACTTACCAAGCCTAATTACCAAAGAAATAAATTAAAGCTACATTAACCAAATAAATGAAGGAAAAAAATTCAAATATTGAAATTTAAAAAATAGACATGCATAAAATAAGTTCAAATTTAAAATCACATTAATTAAAATATTAAATTCTAAGTTAACATAAATTAACAAACATGCATAAAATAAACTCAAGATTAAAAATTACATTAATTAAAATAATTAAAGACAATTCAATATCTAACTTAAATATGAAATAACAATATCCATAAAAATAAGGATTTTTTTTTTACTTTTTTATTTCTATTTTTTTGGTTTTAGGTCGGATCGTCCAGCCCACCCAAAAGCAAAAGTTCGTCTTCGGACGATCCGACCTCTATCACAAGTGGAGTTGGGCTCACTTAAGGGAAAAGACCGAGTTTTTGGCCCAAAAACATAACCCAAATCTAATCTCTTAAATTTTTGAATCAAAACCCATTTTTCCATTTTCCTTCATCTTTCTCTCTTTCCTTTTTTTCCTTCTTTCTTTTCCCTTTCTTTTTCTTTCTTCTTCTTCTTCCCTCTCCTGGCTGAATCCAACCTCCATAAACGAACTCGTTATGGTTCATCCCTTCTCCCTCTCCTATTTTCTTCTTTCTCTTTCTTCTTTTCTTCCTCTCTTTCTTATTCCTTCTTTTTCCTTCTTTACCATTCTCTCTCTTTTTTAAAAAAAAAAATGTTCGTTGCTGCTATGGACGAACCAGTGGAGGTTCGTCCATGGTCGCTTGATTTTTCCTTTTTCTTTCTTTCTTTTTCCCGTTCTTTCCTTATTTTCCTTGCTCAATCAAACCCCCTCCCCAAAATCAATTTCTCAAAGTTCTTCCCCAATTTTGGTCGAAACCCTAAGTTTTCAACTTCTTATTTTTTTTCTTTCAATTTTTGTTCAAATGGGTCTAATTGACTTGATTTCTCTTGAAATCAAATGAATTCAAACCCTTTAGGATTCGAATTTTTGAAAACCCCTAAATCAATTTTTCAAAACAAAATCGGGAACCCTAAGTTTTAATTGAAATCAATTCGGCTCCAATTAACCCCAAATTGAAACTGCAATAGACTTCGATTGAGTTTAATTTGTATTTCTTTAACTTCAATTTCAAACCGAGTTTTTGAAAAATTGAAATTTCAATACTAACCTAACTTAACAATCAAAAAATCCAAATTTAAAGAAATATTAAAGAGATTACCTATAAGAATTGAGTTGAGGATGATGGTGGATT